ATGTCGGCCTCGATGGAGGCCTATATTTGTACCCCGTCACTGAGCGGAAAGGGGGAGCCCCCAAAAACAGAGCCATTGGAGAGTGACTCGTTCATCAGTCGTGCACTCACGTGGGCGTGAGGTGTCAATCAATCAATCATTTTACGTGCCAATACGGCCCTCAGTCAAGTAGGCACCAGTGCACATTACAATAGAACGGGTACGATACAGGGGGCATATAGCCAATAGGAATGAGAAAAGAAAACCATCACGATCTCAGCGGCTAACACCGACCAAGCAAAGTAAATTGGAACTCGCGCGCAAAAATAAAGTGCAACCGTGCGCAACGAATAGCGTAAGAAAGGTAAGTGGTAAATACAAATAAATAAAATTTGTATTGAAATTTTTCGATTTTATGGGAGGCCATGTTTTATGGAAGGTGTGCCTCAAGCCGAGCACAGGGGAGACTAGAAATCCCATCACCGCCGAGCATAATAACTGCATCAATTGAATTGGCAGCAAGGCGTTTAATTGGCCACTGGATATGAAATAAACAGGAGGGTCCCTTTGATGAAGACTTCACAATGGCACAAATGCTCTTTGGGGACCGACAACGGACATTCGTCAATGCTTACTTTCACGATCAAGTATCAGCCTTCTCTTAAGAGTGGTTTTCTTTGTCTTATATGGGAAATGCATCCAAATAGAATAAACCTCCATTCAATCACAATTGTGGTATAATGGACTGATTTAGAAAGGAATAGTGCATCCAATATTGCCTTGAATCCACTCGCCTAACTGAATTTACCAAGGATCACTGACCTTTGACTTGGCCTCACCTCTCTTTTCCTAAGCTGATAATGTGCTATCGCAGCATACCATGCACTATAATCCTGCCCCTTAAATTATACATTTCAGATGCTAACTTATAAATGTAGGTGTTTTGCCACGGTCTCCTGCCTAAATGTTTCTTGAACATAATTTACAATTTCCTACAGCCAAAGTGTCCACGTGACCACACTCGAAATGTGTGGCGCTTGCATCCATTTGCAGTCCTGAGTCCACAGTGAAAATTCCATACCGCCACTAAAACTCACGTTAAGCCTCGTTTTCACCGGTGGCCACCGCCACACGCCACTGTTATGAAGAGATGAACGAGTAATAACCGAGTGAAAATTAAAAATGAGGGCAAAAAAAAACCGCGGCTCTAAATGAGGAAAAAAAATCCACAAAGGGAGCAGTTTTACTGCGACACGGCCACCGAGAGGTTTTGCACCCTGGCCACCAGGCTGCCAAGACGACAATAGCACAGTGAATGTGAAGGAGGCGAGCTCCAAAACGCTGCCGTACATATCTCAGTCAGAGGCACCCCGGCCCTGCTGGCTTAGGAGGTGGCCACCGCGCGCGTAGAATGGGGATTACAGCGGGTCGGCGGAGAACCGGGCCCCCCGTTGATGACGTAAGCCTCCTGTATACATTGCCAGACCTCCGTAACGAGGACCACCAGAAAAAGGGAAGGACAGCTGGGTCAGATATGCGCTGGCTCAAAGAACGATTTAGATGGAAGGACAAAGGCCCTAAATGCTGCTTTTTTTTAGGGGAGCGGAAAGGTGGCGGGCGGAAAGAGGGAAACAATGATCCACTGGTTCACGTGGAATTGTGACGAACTCTTCGGGACAAACAGAGGGGATGTGCAAAGGACGGGACGCTCCCTGGTGATCGCCGCGAAGGGGAGGAGGGGGGGATGGCCATCAGGGACTGGGGCTCGCTCACCCCCCTCCTTGCCGACGTGATAGCAATAAAAAACCTTTTGAAAGCCGGTAACTTGTGTGAGCAGGTAGCCGAGGGGGGGGGGGGGGGGGACTGAAATGTAGGGGCCACCAAGATGTTAAGGAGCAGATGCAAGTCCTAAGGAGCGACCTCTGACCTTATCAGGGGGCGTACCTAAGAAATAGCCCCAAAAACATGCGTGGCAAGATCGGAGAGGTCATCTATCAGCCTTACCCCCACCCCACCATTCATGTGGAAGGCAGAAATTGCAGACGCCCTAACCTTGAGAGCAGAGAACCGCCTCGTTGAAACCCCTCCACAAGTAACTGGGGGGGGTACGGTGGCGAGATGTTAACTACCTCGCCTGGTATACAGGTCGTGGGTTCGATCCCAACTCTGACGCCGTTATATTTGGAGTTTGCGTGCTCTTACCGTGGTCGTGGCGTTTTCTCCGGGTCCTCCAGTTTTCCCCTCCACATTTATAATCAATAGGCGTTTATAATATTTGGCTGCTATACATTTACACCTAATTAGCCATTTAGTTGGGCTATCATTTGTGGCCAGGTCGCTTCTGAAAAAGAGCTGTACAGCTCAGTGGGCCTTGGTGAGTGGGGCTACTCTGCAAGAGGTGGGAGCCAAACCGCAGAAATGACACCAGAGGCAGAAATAAAGCCAAATGAAAGCCGTAAAATCCTCCTGCAGTGCTGGCGGAACCACCTCCTTACCAATGGCCACGCCGTGAGACCCAGGTTATTGCAGGTCTCGGTAACTTACGCCCCCACTCAGACAGAAGGTCTGAACGTGAAGGGAAGAGGGCGCAGCTGTGGTGCGAGGTGGTAATTAATCACCTCCTCGCCTGAGGTCCCCACAGAAGATGCCGGACCTTGCCCTAAGCCATTGTGAGGTCTCCAGAGCGACGGAGCGCTTTGGCAGTGGCCGCCGTGAGCTCTTGGCACCATCTCCTCCCCTTCGAGGGTCAGGGCTTCCCGCTGCTGGACCTCTCATTGTAGATTTCTGGCGCTGGCACGGAGATGGAATTTTCATCTCTCTTCAACAAGAGTGGAGGTCTCGCTGTGGCCAACAGGCAAACAATCACTTTATCCTGTGTATGCTGAACTTCTTTCGCGCCGCACGTAGCCAACCGTGCTCATCGTAGGTGCGGGGGAAGGACAACAAACTGAACACAAACTCGTGCAAACCACTGCCCCACCAACTTGCAAGAGACGATGGGCCGACTCAACCCTGTCCGAGATTCGAACTCACAACTTGAGTTGAATGAATCGACGAACATTTTTTTTTACGTTCGATGAGTTGGGCTCCTTTTAAATATGGGGGCTGCCCTAAGCAGCCATGCCTAGCACGGCTCGCGATGACAAATGAAGTCTTGCCACCGCCCCCCATTACCTCCCATCCAGAGGCACACCTGGCACAAGAGGTAAACATTTCCCCCCTAATTAATTTTTTGATATCTGGTTAGTCGGGTAATCCAACTGACAATCGGTAGAGTAATCGATTTACTTAAATAATTGGATGGCCCAGATTTCCTCATCACCTTGCTTATTGAGATCTCTGCTGCCATGCAACCTGGGTTTTTTTATGGTGACCATATAATATCGTTGACAAGCATCATTTAACTCAATATACATGGCAGCACATTCAAACCAATCGATACAAACTGTTTTTGTCTTTATGGAGAGATTGCAACATGATACGTTGTATCTTGCACATTAAATGTTTTCAAACAAGGTGTACCATGATAGCGAATGGATAGATTGTAATGATTGTGTCAGGACTTTTTAATGCTTTTTTATGGAAGCAATAAGCACACCACACGATATAGATTGTGCGCAACAGAAACATTTATTCTTGAGGGATCCGAGAACAGAAATCTCAACAGTCGTTAAATGTTCATCATTGTTATTCTGAGTTGTGATAAATACAACTTAGCAGAACTATAAAGTATAAACAGTGATGTGCATCTGGAGTGTTTGGACGATAATCCCTGTAAGATTATCTCTCTGGGTGTACGCCTGCAAATAAAAAACTTCCGATACTAATTTGACAGTGAAGCGAGATTAGAAATGCGGTATCGTAGGACTGCAAAGCTATTAACACCAACAAGTGTGTATTTTAGATTACGTGCCACGCGTCAGAAAAATACAAAAATGGTTTGGAATGCGACAGGTTTTGCAAACAAATGCAACGACTTAACACGTCAAGTTGTGTGTGGACCAGCCGCTTGGTCCAAAGGGTCAACCTGCACGCCGAAACGTCGTTTAAATCAGCTTCGCCCTCCGTGTGTATGCAAAAGTGGCGCGTAATAGAAGGGTGGAGGTGAGCCACTATCCAATTGACGCTGTGTACCCGTTGCAAATGCTCGCAGCAAATGCCATAGTTTGTCCTCCAGATTCGTTGTGAACAGGGCAGCAACAGCGCTGCCCACAAGAGGGGCTCTGCATTAATGGGGGGCCTTCAGTAAAGCCACGTTTCAGAGTAGTGATCAGCACTTGTAATCTTAGCATTGCCCCCGAAGGGATATGCTAAATATTGTATCGTCGCAGCCCTAGGAAATTCTAATTTCAAGTTTTGTACCTTGTGAATAAAGTAAAGAGTACTTAAGCTTAACAGCATATTGCTGGATCATGTTCTTCTGGTTGATGTTGTTGAGTTCAAAACACTGGTCAACAAAAAAAAAAAAATTCTGGCCTGGACTTTTGCAGCTGTTTTAGACTAATTTCAGGGTGCCGATTCCAAATCTGATCTCAGATTTACCCTATCACATGTCATTTTATGCTATAGGCATACCCCATTTTCATAGATTTTACCTGAAATTAACTCTGTCACTTATTATTGCAAGTTGTTGCGAGTCAGTGACTGCTTTAGTGTTAAAATATGGTGCTGTATTTTTAGGATAGTGTGTTTATAATATCATTTAATGTAGATATCCACATTTATTTAATATTTTTCTTCTGCAGTTTTTATTGAAAATTCAATATTTGATATCCCAACAACATTATCGTGTTCTTGGTTCTTTCGGTAAAGTCACGTAAAAGGGAAGTAATAAAATAATAAAAATAAAACATAATAAAATATTATTATATTATATTATTTTATATTATTTTATTATGTTTTATTTTTATTATTTTATTACTTCCCTTCTATAAAATAAAACATAATAAAATAATCTAACCAATAAAATAATATATTTTATGTTTTATTTTTATTATTTTATTACATCCCTTCTACGTGATTTTACCGAAAGAACCAAGAAGATGAATCCCTGCAGTCACGAAAGCTTTAAATCGAAATTTAACATCATCGTGCTCCCCACCCGCCTCTCCTCCAAGTCATGTCGTCAGCTGGAACTTCCGTCATCCTCTTCGCTCCCTGCAGCTCCACCTTCGCTGGGTTCGTAGCGTCCTCCACTCCGCTTCTTTCCAAAGAGTGAGTCCGTCTGCTGCCGCCTCAGCCTGCCAATGGGGGAGAAGCACACGACGATGCCATTAATTCCAGATTTGTAGTTTTTCGTGACTGCAAGGATTCATACTCTTTTGTTTTTTCGGTAAAGTCACGTAGGTAAAATTTTTTAATGAAAAACTACTAAATTAAATCACGACGTTTCGGAGGCCACAAGCTTCCGTCTTCAGGTGGAACTGTCACAGCAAAATTACTGTATCAAGTGAAGAGAGCTCTAAGAGACACGACCTTATATACTGGTTAAGGGGAGGGGGGAGGAGCCAGGATGGGCCGCGGGGGGGTGTGTAAGCTGGTGAGGTAACGATGCCATTGTGCGCTGTTTTGCCACAAATGTGTGGTTGCAGGTCACGCAGCCTGCATAGTCACGTGCTGCACTTTCTGCGGAAATCTCCGTGTGTACAACTATTAATTTGATCGGCGTGTTCACAAAAAAATGTAGTCGTGGTCTTCGTCGAGTTGATGCCAACCTGCGGACTTTTAGTCAGGACTTAGTCTGCAGATGTCGTTGAGCCATCCTCAAAGTCTCATCGACTAAAGCAGTCAAACGTTGAATCTGCTCTCAGTTATTAAATGTTGCTGTTAGGAGCGTGACATTCCCCCCCACACTGAAGGCACTGGCTCTGTTAATATTGCAGAAGCCATTAACCAAATTCTTTATTTGTTATTGTACAGTTTATTAGCAACAACCAGCAGGCATGTAGGCTAGGGCGACGTGTGGTCTTCACTGAGTGTAATGTTGCCTGCTGCCAGTGTTAATTTAATCAGTAGTTTATAGGGAAATAATAAAATAATTATCACGACGTTTCGGCCACAACGCAAGCAGCTGTCCTCGGGTGAAGAACAGGTCTGTCGGAAAGTCACGTATCTTTCAGACACGTGACTTTATCGAAAGAACCAAAGAGTAATTCCTGCAGTCACGAAAGCTTCAAATCAGACATTTAATACCGTCTGAGTTATTAAATGTCGGTGTTAGGGGTGTGCAATTTCTCCACACTGAATGTTATTAGCTCAGATAATATTATTGAACTGAGAGAATATGTTTCAATACATATATAGATAATTTCCAATACAGAATTAACACCGTTTGGGAGGCCAACTAAAAATCGAGCAGCAAACGAAATACAAACGAGGGCTTCAGTTGACTCTGCTCCGACAGACATTTAGAGGGACCCACATCTTCTTGTCAGAGGCTTCCCTGGCCACCCTCACCACTCACCTCACGAGACGTTTCCATGGGCCATCCATTTTATGATCTAGCCTTAGAGGTTTCGCTTGATCGTTTTCATACACTTATCGTGATCGTTGAACAAGACAAAACAGAACAAACACTTTGCTGATTTGATAACGCCGTCCACTCATTTTGTGAGCAAAATCAACACTGTGCGTCGCGAAAGACCATTGGCACGAATCTCCACGGTAATTGAGGGCATTGCCACATGGCGTTGCCACATGGGAATTGACACAAGTGGGCGGTGCCACATGTAAGTGGGCGTTGCCAAATTTAAGTGGGCGTTGCCACATGTAAGTGGGCGTTGCCACAAGGGCATTGCCACATTTAAGTGAGCGTTGCCACATGGGCATTGCCACATGCAAGCGAGCCAATGTGCAATGCGTTTTGGCGCACACTTTGCACACAATTACAAGCAAACATTATGCGGCAACGCTCAATTGTACATTATCTCTGCACTTGCTCACCCCATCAAGTTTTATTTATTTATTTAAAGGGCTCAAATCAAATCTCGGCAGCCATGCGTTGAGTGCCTTGCTGTGCCGACAGCATGTTAAGATAAATTATACCAGTCAAGGTCACTAGTGCTGCCTCATGCTCACTGTGGTTTGAGGGGGGGGGGAAGGCGTAACCTTCGTAAGAAAATAATTAAAATGCCATGAAAGTTTCAAAAGTTAGGTTTCCCATCGAAAGCTCACATGGGAACAATTAAGTGACACTTGGCATTTAAAATAAATATTTTAGCATCTTTACAGTAGTTGCGTGTTGATGTTTGGTTATGAATTTGTTAACAGTGCAGTGTTCGGCTCATCCATCTGCGAGGCATTGTGTGTGGCAGAGTTACGATCATTGGCTGTGTCTAATGAGCACCGAGCCATCTGTCGTCGGCGTATTTCCTGGCCAAACGTTTGTTAAATTACATTTCTGCAAGGGTGCTGTAATTTCACCCGGGCACATCAGAAAAGATGAGGCGCTAATGGCCGAGTGAGCATTGACATTTATAATCAATCAAATTTCCCGAATAATAATGATTTAAAAAACAAAACTGCTTGTGATGCAGCATTGTTCTGAACCTGCCCTTTTCCATCACACCGACATGTCACGTGCCAAACTGTTTGTGCACAAGCCTGCACTTTGATTGCTGTGTGCGATAGGAATGCCAGTTTGATTTGCTTTTGTTTTGATGGAAGTGGTCCTGTGCGCCACGCTGACTTGCCCCCCCAGGAGCTGTCCCAACAAACACAACCGCTGATCACGTGGCCACATCTTTCTGATTTCTGAAGTTAAGCAATTACCGTGAAACGTGGCATTTCCACCCCTCTGCCCCCCATCGCAAATTATCACAGCCTCTGCGTGATCCATTTGGACAGATTTGAGGCAGCCTGACTCTCTGCCTCTCCATTCCTTGATTTAAAAAACGCATGCACATCTCTGCTGTTAAACTGAGAATTAAGTAACCCCTCCTCGTCAAACGCTGCACGCGGTGCAGTGATTGTAAGAGAACTTCGTGAGCTGTTCACGCCTAGCTTTGTGGAGGTGTTATTCACTGCTGGATTTAGCTTGCGGGCAAAGGTAGGCATACTCTTAGGTTTTTTCGGTAAAGTAACGTAGGTAAAACATTAAAATTTATAAAAGTAAAATAAAATAAAAATCACGACGTTTCGGAGGCAACACAAGTCTCCGTCATCAGGTGGGACCGTCACAGCCCTGCCCCCTCCCTCCCGATACGTTCCATTCATTGGCTACCACATTCTGATGAGCTCCCCCCCCCTCTCCTCCCCCCTCAACTTGCTTTTAAGGGATTACATCTGGAATCATTGCCTCACTTGATGCAGCAAATCTGGATGTGACGGTCCCACCTGATGACGGAGACTTGTGTTGCCTCCGAAACGTCGTAATTTTTATTTTATTTTACTTTTATTAATTTTAATGTTTTACCTACGTGACTTTACCGAAAAAACCTAAGAGTATGAATCCTTGCAGTCACGAAAGCTTCAAATCTAGAAAAAGGTAGGCATCATCGTCGTCATCGGTGGTCTATCCACTGCTGCACGATGGCCTCGCCACGCGATCGTCATCCGTGCGAAGCCATGATCTGTCTCGGTCCGGCCCATCAACTGATATCATTGCACCATATCTGAACCGGCCCTAGACCTTTGGGGGCCCTAAGCAAAATTTGGTTGGAGGCCCCTTTGATGTATGATTTTTTTCACCCACTCGCTAGCAGTGACTCTAGGGGGCCCTCTGCTGGCCACGGGGCCCTTTGCAATTGCAAGGGTCGCTTAGTGGCTGGGCCGGCTCTGCACCATATCTGCAGTGAATGTCCTCATGAGAGCGTTCCACTCTGTTGGTTTGCCATTCCATCACCAGCCTTATGAATGAGCCGTCGTCCCTACTAGTTATGTGGTGCTGCTTGGTCACACCGCTGCCGGCAGAAGGGCCTCCACCAGAAAGGGCTCTAGAGAACCCAAGCGAGCCATGGTATATGGTCTACTCTTCCACACTGACCAGACATCTCGGAAGAGGCAGGAGTACCTACAACTCTACTCCACCACACGCAACCTGCCAATCGAATGAGCATGGTGTACCCATTTATACTGCCACGGAGCTGGGTGGGACATATTATAATTATCCCTTAAATTGAGTGGGTTCACTGCCCAGTTTCTCTGCATACACTTAAGCCGGTATTCTCAGTCACGGTTCGGTTCAGGCTTGGCTCTGGCTCAAGTGAGCCGGCTTGGAGCCATGCGCTCAACTTGAGCCGGCTCTTGAGCATGGTGCCAGCCACGCTCAGGATGTCCATGAGTGAAACCAGAGCTGAGCCACGGCTGAGCCGCTCGTTCATGCGTCTCTAGAAGTAACCGAGTGGCTCAAGCCTGACCTGAGCCATGTTAGAGGCCGAGCCAGGGCTGAGCCATGGCTGAGCCGCTCGTTCATGCGTCTCTAGAAGTAACCGAGTGGCTCAAGCCTGACCTGAGCCATGTTAGAAGTTGAGCTGGGCCTCGACTTACGAATATGGCTCTCTTGTCATGATGTATTTTTAAAACACTCACCGACCCTGAACGATCAGTGGCATTCCAATATAAGCTTACAGAACTGTTAAAATTGTATTCGAATAAGATATATTATTTCGGGTTTTTCCTGTATCCTCGGTAGAGTTAAATGGTTTAAGTATGGAATCATTGTTATAAATTATATAGTAATTTCAACATGATAATTGTTTTTTTACCCTTTTATCTGGCAACAAAACTGACACCTTTTTTTACAAGGAGTCATGTTAGCAAAACCAATGATCATATTTTTTACTGGCAAATGAGGTCCCAATGGTGTAAATGCTTACCCCGAGCTCTCATACTCTGATGGTGTATTGTCTTTGAGTTGTGCGCCTTTTGGCGTCATCTGGTCCAACACCATGTGAGACTAGGCTCTAAGGAAAGCTGTCTCGGGTGTGGACCAATCAACTTCAAGGACAGTGCATACATGATCAGAGTTATGTTTTTTGTTTGCATTATGACTGCAGGTATTGTGGTCTATGCAAACATGACTCCTTGTAAAAAAGGTGTCAGTTTTGTTGCCAGATAAAAGGGTAAAAAACCAATTATCATATTTTTTACTGGCAAATGAGGTCCCAATGGTAATTTCAACATTTTACATTAATTAGTATTATTATTTATAGCCCTCTGTCAATCCACTGTTTTCCCATTCTGTGTCAGTCACGGTGTTTGTTTATCCATACATCCCCATGCGAGCCAGGCAGTGTAGGTG